CGGGGGAGGAATAAAAAGGAAAAGCAGCATACTCTGGAGCACAAGGCTTCAGGAGGCAACGTCATGGGAGCAGAGGGGTCCCAAGGGGGAGCAGGGAGATGAAAGAGGGACTAGGGTCCTCCCAGGCCTTGCAGTGGGACAGGGGAGGCACCTGCTGCCCACTCTCCTGGGTCTTGCAGGGGAAAGAGGAATAGACAGACAAAGGTATGGTGGCTGTTCAGCATAGAGAAAGAAGGACCAGGACGTGAGAGCGCGATGCAGAGCAGCAGAGCTAGAAAATGGACAGGCATCTAGACCGAGTTTCACTTTTATATGAACGTAGGACACCTATGTGGTTAAATGGGAACCTAACTATCATGTAAGACATTGGACCAACAGCTTGGGGATTCAGCTATTTTTGGCTTCGAATGGCGGTACTTTCTACTTGTACTCACTTATGGTGTGACAACTGGTGGAGAAATAGATGCGAAAAGACATCGAGCCCTCCTCTCTCTCAAATGCAGATATGGACATACAGATCCACACTATCACAGATTCGTTGCATCCCTTAGAACCTCACAGTATTGAAAGCCTTTTAAGCTTTCCCTTACTGCCTTTTAAGCCCCTCATGAGAGGCATATTGCCAAAGACTCTAGAAACAAGACATTAGTAAGCCATAAACTGATTTTATTATTTTTGAAAAATGGAATGTTTCACCAACAGAAACTTTAAGTGATGTTTGACCAAGAACACGTTTATTACAAAAAAAAGAAACCAAACCAACAAGTTGACATAATATTTGGCTACAATGCAGCAGCAGTCTTGCTTTTTGTAATCACAAATTCAAGGTGACCTTGGTTAATAAAATTCACCACCATTGTCATCTGGCATTAAAAAAAAATATATATATATGTATAGATATAGTGCTTTCAGTAGCGGCGGGTAAAACGGGGTTCAGTCGGTCTGTTTGTCCGCTCCTGACCTGCAAACACTCCTTGTATTCCGCTACTCTGCATCACCTGGCTCTGGTTTCCAACTTGCGTAAAGCCTCCGCGCCTAAAAACAAGACCAGAGAAATTGAAATTTGCCCGGAAAAGTTAATGCTACTGTGACTCTGAGAAAAGATGTTTGCTTAGGTTTTTTTCTACTTGCCAATCCATAGTTAAGTAGAAGCTGACAGTATTATTTTTCACAATTGACATGGGAATTTGTTCTTTTATACAGATCAGTCAGCTATTATAAAAACATTATAAGCACTCTGACAAAGCTTCTTACCCCGACATCCCTCCTCGATTCATCACATGGCCTGGTCCTGAGTGACCAGGCATGCTTCTATCACCACCTAATTTAAAAAAAAAAAAAAAAAAAAAAAGAGAGGGGAAAAAAAAGGAAAAAAAAAAAGAAAAAAGGAAGAAAAAAAAAAGACTTTTGTGTTTTCCTAATAAAAATGCCACCTTGTTCCCAGAATTTTATTTGCTTTCTTGGTAATGCTGTTAAAGCTCCATAGGAATTTTAACTACCGCTAGAAGTTCAGCAGCAGTAATTCATAGAAAAAACCACGATCACACTGGTAAGCAGCAAGTGTACCTTGCCATCTCTCATGATCCCGTCCCATCATTCCTCCATCCACATTTCCCTGCCATGAACGATCTTGATGCCCCTCTAACTTTCGACCATGATCTCCCCAGTCACGTCCATCTCTTAAAAAAATAAAAGAACATCTTCTAGGTGTGTCCCTTATCCATTTAGCAGCATAGGGTAAAGCCAAACACCGTACCCCTACAAAAGTGTATTAAATTGTTAATCAAGCTGTACCTATAGCCACCCAATCATTGCAATAAAAACTGGTCAAAGAGAAACCACGAGAAGCTTCCTGAACAGCGTCCTTCACACAACAAAGCTTGTCTTTTCCTGATCTACAGAGCCATAATTAGTATTGCAATGTACTAAAATACTTAAACATGGAAAAATTCATTGACTGCCATTCCTGTCTGGCATATTTATGTAGAACTGAACATTATGCATCTGGAATATGCCTAGCTTGACTACCTGGTTTAAAGAGAAACTGCTACGATTCCAGATGAGTCTCAGTCCCCCACCCCCACCAATGCAGAGATTCTGACTCTATTTCCTTAGAACCTGACCACTAGCCACAAATTAGACTTTTGTAGGAGTTACTGGAGCATCCGGTACAGGACTGAATCCTGTCTGTAGAAAAGAAAAGTTATTTACAAGAGAAGCACAGTTATGAGTGGAGCTAACTGAGCAGCACTTCTTTACTCACTACAACGCTCCAATTCTCTCGATGCACAGAGGAGCTACATGTGTGAATTCCTTGCTTCTCCAAATGCTCGAAGAAACTATCTGGAGAGAGGATTCACACTTGTCAAACTGCTTCCGCTGTCAACCTTCAAAGGTTCACCGAGCATTAAAATTTTAAGAACCAACAAATCACTTCCCTTATTTCTTATGCACTAACCGGGTTTGTGGAGGTATCCCTCTCCCTTCACTCATTCTTCTGTCAGACCCATAGCCACCCCAACTATCCCGGGAGTGACGATCAGGCCCTCCGTGGCGTTCATCTGGGTAATGCTGGAAGGCAAACGGTACAGAGTTATGCTAAGAACCGACACTGCTTTTCTTTTAGGATTGCAAAAGTTCAGGTCCTCAGAGGTTGCCTTTCTATAAGCTGTCAGAAAATAAAACAGTAGCTGTCTCATTTTTTACTGATTCCATTGTTGCTACTATGCGTGGTTCGCTCTAGGCATTTATTTTGTTTCACAGCACAGATTCCACTCTGCTCGTTGGTTGGAGGCAGCTTTTTTTTTTTGGTAGGGTGTTTTTTTTTGTTTGGTAGGGTGGTTTTATGGCTTACGTTCTGGCTTCAGCTTTTTAATTTTTACATAGAATACCTGCCTACTACTTATCTCTCTTCACAAATGAAAGGTTTTGTGTACCACTGTGGTATTGGTTTTCGCATCTGTTCTTTTACAGTCATCTGCCTTGTTCCATTATGACACCAGTTATTTTCTACAAACCATTTACGTAAATGTCAGAGAAGGGATCCCTTGCCAGCTAAGGATAAGACACTACAGTAACTATCTCTTAATGCACTACAGACACCTAAGATGGTTAACCAGAAAACTTTTATTGCCACATACCAGCCTGAAAAGATGCTATACCATAGCTCCCATCGCTCAGAGGTTAGCCCCCAACCCTGATCTGTGGGTACCGCACTAGCAAGCGGATAACTTAATAACTTGCATTCTGCAAGACAGCAAGCAAAATCAGTTGCTGCTTGAACGTTTGCTCAGTTTAAACCCAGTGGCAGTTGTAGTTAAGAACTAGGCAGCATGCACACTGTGTTCTTTCTGCTTTGGTGCCTGTTCGTTTGGCTTTTTAACTGAAGCAGTTATTTGGGTATAACCCACCTGCCCATCTCGATCTGGTATTCCTCTTGAACCGTCTCTTCTGGAACAAAAAAAAGAGAAGTTTCAGTTGAATTGATACAGTAATCATAATTCCAATGTCTGTATGAAATAGCACATGAAATTTCTATATTCATTAGGCTTTAAATCTGAGAATGCAAACCTTTGTTTGGCGGTAAGATTTCAATTCAGTTCTTGTTTCACAGCACAGAAAGAGATCAAAGTAACACCTATTACTGTAATGTGGGTAAGCGAGGCATCATGAGGCATGGTCAGGTACTCGATGGCACGAAGGGAAAATACTGAGTGAACCTACCATTATCAGAAATTAGTTACAAACAAAAGCAAAGTGGTATGGTTTTTGCCAAAGATCCTTTGAGAGCAAAACAGAAGTCTCAATAGCACTACGTACAAAGTATTTTTGCATTCTGTGGAACTAAAAATCTGCATTAGCTAGGTTGCAAAGATGAAAGTAGGGCAAGTTTTAAAGCAATGTGAAATGGCTAAATCTTAGGGTAATGAACAGGGATTCATAAACCAGATTTCCATACATCTCGAGAGAAGCTGTAGGATCTCCCTAGGCATCACAGCAGACTACATTAGAACTTGGCTTATAATCTTCATGCAGTCTCTTTCTGCTATGTCCATAAAGGATGGAAACACAGGATTGCGAGCACGCATAAATTTAGACAAGAGAAATGCACATGGGTCATTTGTTTCGCTCTTCTCTTTTGGTATCCTTCAAGTCATTAGCATGCCACAAAGAGACACCTATTTTCCATAAAGGTATAGGAAGAAGAGACACCGCCTTGCCAACCTGTCCAAACAATGATCTTGGTATCGGCCACGATCCCTGTGGTCAAAGTCGTGGAAGCGGTCTTGACGACTAAATTCAGAATGATACCTATCATCCATTGCCATTCGCTTCGCCTCTGGCCAGTATGGGTCATCACGCCTGCAAATAAAGATCACAATTAGTAATAATCTCAAAACAATCTTCCTTTCCTGATCTCTTGATATCAAACTTCATTCAATCAATTATCCAAACAATTATTTTTGATTTATAATTAAAAACCCTTGTGTGTTAAGCAGACATCGCATTTCAACTTCAGAGGAAGCTAGGTGTATCGACACTATGCAGAAAGCTTAATCTCGGCATGCGCTGACATGAGAAAAGAACGAGTATCTGTTCCCGCTAGCAATCCTGCTTTAGAGTTGATACACACAGTTTCTATTCTCAGTCACTCCTCTTTGGGGAAATAAGAATTTTAACCTGCTGTAATAAAATTGTGCTTACAGGTATACAAGTATGACATTGTCTCTTTCTTAAGAGCAATATTAAAGTGTTAAAAGCAACATGTAAATAGTCTTTCAGTTGCGAGCTCCCACAACTGCTTTAGCAAGAGTAGTCACAATTTACATAGGCTTTAGAATGCTCTATCTGGATGTGGCCGAAGAGTTTGGAATCTCATTGTGGTTATCGTTACCTGCCATCAGGATCATAAGGCCTTCTCATGGCAGATCGCCGTTCTTGTTCATAGCGTAGTTGTTCCTGCTGACGTCGCAGCTCTTCCCTTTCTCGCTGGATTCGTTCCTGTTCTCGTCTCCTTTCCTGCTCTATGTGCATTCTTTCTCTCTCCAATCTCTCCCTCTCCAAGCGCTCTCTGTCAAGACGCTGCCGTTGAAATTCAAGTCGTTCTCGCTCTCTCTGGAGCCTCTGTCTTTCATCCCGCTCATGAATAGCTTGAAGGCGTTGTTCTCGTTCTCGTCTCTCTCTCTCTCTAATTGAAAAAGGTATTTTGTTTTCAATTGAGAAACTGAAGTCTAAGCTTTATTGCTGCTTTGTTTTGGGTAAGGTTTCTTATTTGCTTTCTGCCCCTCCCCCCGAATCTTCTATGTTCTTCCCACTACCTGCTTAAACGTGAACTATCTCTTCTCAACTAAATTGCAGCTGCTGAGTTTAAGAAAAAAAAGAAAGAAGAAAAAGGAGAAAAAAGTCCACGCAGAAGAAAGAAGCAAGGGTAAGCATTCTGCATATATAACACTGTATCTACTCTAAGTCAGCTCTGAAAAAACTTTCATACAGCACAGCATGTCCTAAGACAGAAGTCTTAACACACACAAGTATTTAAAAACTTCCAGGGAAAAGTCAAGTATGGAAATTCAAATCTGACAGAGTGGAACACGAGACCTGAAAGGACCTATAAAAGTTACTATTCAGTAAGTCTCCCGAAAAGCATAGGCTTAGAGAAGATCTATTTCAGTAGTAAAAACCTTCATAATTTGGCATTATGTCTGTGCTATCAATAGATTAGTATGAAATCAGAGACAGTAATGTTGGAGGGCCAGCATAATGCTACTTTGCAGCCTATTCAAGTAAGAGTTAAGGGAAGTAAAACCAAATGCCGTTCAAAGTTTAGTGTGAAACTGGGAAAACTCACCGGCGCCTTTCCGTTTCCCTGATTTCTCGCTCCCTCTGTCTCTGACGTTCACGTTCTCGCTGTTCTTTGATTTTATCGAACGATAAAATATCTTGCTTTTCTTTGCTCTCGGATTTGCGATCCTGGCTTTTTGTACTCTGAGTTAAATCAAAACAATACATTAGCTGAACACAGTGCATTTTTAGCTAAAATTCCTAGGCAAAAGGCCAACCTTCTGCCAACCTGAACAAAACAGACTATCATACCTTCCCAGAGGTAAATAGTGTTGGAATTCCACGGAAAAGTAGATCAGGAAAAACTAATCCGAATTTGACTAGAACTTCTAAAGAGTTTAAGAATATATAAATGCAAGGGGCACATGATCTGACTTGCACTGGTGGCAAATGATACACTGCTTTAAAGGTCATCGGTCACCATACTCCACGCTCTGGGAAACATGTTATCTTACCATTTTCATATTGCAACTCTACTTCTTCAACTAGGACAGCAGCGACAAAAACTATAAACAAGGTGAAGCATAAGCATTTACCTTTGCAGCACCATTAACACCGTAATGCTTTCTAAAAAGGGATAAAAGGATAACTGTTCCCAGTGTGCAAGGCAAAAAAAAAAAAAAAAATCCCCAACACAAAACCTTCAACTATATGCACATAAAGCTATTCAACACCTATTTTTGCATAAAAGCTTCTCAAAGTTGTTCTTACCCTCTCTTTTGATGTAGATGTTTTCACACTAATAACTGGTTCTCCTTTAGATTTATCCATTACCACTGTCCTTTCAGTTCCTCGACTGGCTAGAAAACAAAATACATCCAAGAGTAAGTAACATGCAAGACATTAAAAAATTCTTGTGAGATTTAAAACTGTCGATATACTAAGCAGAAAAAGGTATTTTACTGAGGCTTTAAATAACTTATGGAAGAATACATTTATGATTTAAATAGTTTACCAAAATTTGGACAAGTTGGGGATGGGGGCAGTAAAGCTATCACTAAATTACAGTAGTGTTTTCTGGCAGGGGTGACAATTGAAAGAAAGCAAATTTAATTTCATTCTTCTGTCTGCAAAATACATCCCTGCCACAGTTAAAAAACAAAAACCCAAAGAAACGAACCCCATCCACACCCAAAAAAAGCACATAGAACCGCACACTGTGTCAGGTCTAAACTCAGTGACAGTTCCACAAAATTCAGTTTACCATTTTGAGTACTTAAAAGTTCAGTAATTATGAAAACTTTGTTTCTAAGTTACTAGCATTCTAAGTCAGAAAAAAGGTTTTCAAGGTATTTTCTGGTGTTGGTTTTTTGTTCACCAGGAAAACGCCAGTATTACTAAGTACACATCACGGTCTTTTTACTGAATTATCAATCGCATCTATTAAGAACACTGAGGTTTGCAGAAGCTGAAGTCTTCTAATTAGCCACGATTCTGAATGTTTACACTTGTTCTTCCATTTCCTACTTAGCTGATAAAGGGAAATTTTTTGGATGCAAATTAGAAGCTGTTGCAGTCGCTTATATTCTTTGCATCATTTTTTTTTAATGTCTTTGAAACAAGTATCCTTGAAAACATTTCTGAAAGGCAGTTAGAATTACCTGATTTGCTTGCCCTAGATCTGTCAGAGGATCCAGCCTTTTGTTCGTCTTTCTCTTTTCCTTCTTTTTCGTCTTTTCCATCTTTCTCCGATTTCTTAGCATCATCTTTTTTGTCAGTCTTCTCCTCCTTCTTAATACCAACAGACCTATAGGTAAACTATGCTTTAATAGAGAACTTAACAAAAAGTGCTATATAACCACTGTGATCAAGCCAAATATGTGGAAAAAAACCCCACCAACAACCCAAAAACACTTGACACACCACGCCCCCCCCCCTCGAAAAACCCACTCCCAATACCTTCCATGCTGCCGCGCTGAAGTCAATGCATTATCTGTACACACTATTAAGAGTGGTGACGGATACTAAGCTATAGAAGTAAAGTCTTCTGTTCTGCCTATAAGTAAAGTTGATGCCTAGCATTAGGGGAAGAGGGCCCACCCAGGTAAAGGTCAAGCTCCACCAGAAGAGCTTTTGCAAACAAATACCTTAAACACTTGATGCAAGCAGGCCAGCCTGCCAAAGCATCTCCTTTGCCAAATCTTTTAAAATTTTATGAAACAACAAAAAGTAGTAAAGCACAATGCCTCTTTCAAAAGCAACAGACCACTTGAAAAAACAATATTCAAGTATCACTTGCTAACCATGCGAACAATCTATCAAAGAGACAGACTAAATCCTGGAAATACATCAGTTAAAAGAGCAGACCAAAAGAGAGTCAGATCAGAGGACGAACGCTTCTGATAAAAATAATGGTTTATCTAGAAATTAGTTGATTGGGCATCTCCTGATATAACTGACAAGTTTTGATACTAAACACTGAAGAGCTCCCTATTTCTGAACAGAGGGCCAATTAAGATGCATTACTGCTGTAGAACATCAATTTCAATTTTTCAAGTATTACTCCTATTTCAGATGCAATATGAAGCAGCAAATTGAAATTTATTACAGTTAATGCTCATTTCGGTCATGTAGCTGTGTTTCAAATGAGTGGTCTTTAAACACAGAAAAATACCAAAAAACACTTTACTTCTCAGATTTGGACTCTGCAGAATGGTGTCTGTCTTTTTCCTTCCTTGTTTCACCTTCCTTTTTGTCTGAAGGCTTTTTCCCAGCTGGTTCATTTTTTGCCTAGAATTTTAGCCAGAAATATTTTTATAATAAGAGACAGGCATTAAACTTGCACACTTTTATTTTCATTTCACTGCCATGGAAATGTCACTTCACTTACCTTTTCCACAGAAATCATTTTTCCATGCAGCTCTGTTCTGTGGAGATGATTAATACACTTAGTGGCTTCTTCAGACGTTGACATCGTAACAAAGCCATAACAGCGAGCACCAGGACTGCGAGCATTTGTCACTACCTTTGCACCGACCACCTTTGGGAAAAAAATTATTCTTTGCAGATCTGTCACCAAATAAATTTTAACTTAATCGCTATTTCAGCGGCTCTGTCTACCAGTACCGAGCAGTACAGCGGTACCACACAGTGTAGCACCTATCCACTTTTAACAGGGAGGAAATACGCTCGGCTTGCAACATTCCATTGGCATTCTCAGAAGACAACATTGCTAGGTTCGTTTGACAGGCAGCAAAGGAAAGGTTATCCTTTTAACTTGATGTCTACACTGTTGGACCAGATGTGTTCTAGAAGTGCCTCGCTAAAGACTACTTCACAGAATATGACGTGAACAGCGTTTACACCCAAGCAAACAGCAACACAAACACAGCCGAAAAGGTTCAAATTTAAGATTATTCCACATGTATTCTGAAAAAAGTATAAAACAAACACAAAATTCTATGAAACAGATAAATCTCATTGTGGAACAGATTGTGGATACAGCTCTGCTGAAAAAGAGACTGCCCTAATAACCAGCTCAGAAAATTAATCTTCAAGTTGCTGAGTAAGTCAATAGCTTAGGGAAGACCTATGTATGTGGGGGAGAGTGGGGCTGTAACAATTAAAAAAAAAAAAAAAAAGAAAAAGAAAAAAAGGCACAAAACCCCCAAACAACCAGAAAACCAAAACAAAATACCAAACCCTACCACTACTTTGTCTTTTCTTACAGAACACCTCTGCTAGTTTCTATCCACAGATGACAATCTCTGACAGTGCAGAGGCACACAGTGACATAAACATTTAATATTACATTCAGAAATATATTAGGAGGAATGGGAGATGGTCACAGAGGAGTTCCCTTCCACAACTTCTGCTCTCATTGCCTAGCTGGCACTGAAGCTCTAAGTAGACTATAGCGCACTAGATGACTACTGACCAGTTCTCCTGTGAAGAATTGCCTCATTTTTACAGCTACCTGCACAGAGGTTCTCTGAAACCTGGATTTCTGCCTGCCCCCCAACCCCCTATTTCAGACAACCTTCCTTATGAAGTATGCTACTGTAGGATACAGAGTTTCAAAAGACCACAAGAATGTTAAGTGCTTAGCCTACCCAGTTATTCATTAGAAAAAATAAGAGCTAAATTTAAGGTCATTCTTTTAAATTGATAAAATGGTTTGTTAAGGTTACATATCCACTACCTACCTTTCCATACTTGCTGAAAAGATTCTTCAAGTCTGTAGCTCTAGTAGAGGATGAAAGTCCACTAACCCACAAATTTCTGCCAGAACCACTACCTGCACGGCCTAGATACAAAAAAGCCAAACATAAAAGACCATGCAGCACAAGAAAGCAACAGTAAAAAAGTAAGCACCCTACAAACCCCACTTTTTTCCTTCATAAACCTCTTCAAATGAAATTTTACTTCTACCTCCTCCAATCACTCTTAAAATCAAGACACACTGCAGCCTGAAAAAATGAACTTCTGAACTCCATACTTGATGTGCATTTCAATAGTCTTAATGAGTTTTCATCTACACAGTCTTCCCACACTTCAATCACTTTTATGAGAATTACAAAGTATTAATGCTAATTCACAAGAAACTGATTTTTAAAAAAAAAAGTCAGTTAATAAGGTTACAGAAGTTACACGAACTGAAGTTTACAATTCATGCCTTGAAGGCCTGTGTTACAACTGCATTTAAGGTTCACTGAATTAACAGTCCTCACCAGAATTGCCAGAGTATAAACCTATAGATCTAGGCATCTGTTGAGCTTTTTCAGACAAATCCTGGTGTTACCGGTAACTATCACCACTGTCAAAGCTAGGGGGACTCCAGTATAACTATTACAGTGAAGATATACACATGCTTAGGGAATTAACAAGACACAAAAAACTAAGCAATGAAAGAAAGGCAAGTCAAAAAAGCAAGCAGAACTATTACTCCCATTGCTCCTTTTAATGTTGACGTACTACAATTGACTCAGAAGTTATGATTAGATTTGACCCCGTAACATTTTTTTACAAGTCATTTGTACATTAAAAAAAAAACAAACCAAAAAAACCAACCACACAAAAAACCAACATACCTTTCTCATCTTTTATCTTTGTATCTCTGTCCTCCTCAACAGGGCTAAAGACAAAACACCACGTTATTCAACCACTCATATGCAAAAAGAATGTTAATTCTAGATTGTGCACTAAAATTGGATACCTACCAGTAAATTAGTTCTGAAATGAACACTATCTTTGTAAATTTATAGAAGAGTGACAGGAAATATGGGATTCATATCCTTAAACAGACAATTCTGTTTTCCAGATGACAGAAATAACAGTAATTTAAGAAAACAACCTTTG